CCCAGCATGTGATTTCTGATCACAATGAAATGAATTTAGAAATCAGTAAGAGAATAAAGTTGGGAAACTCATGAATATGTGGAAATTATTATTATCATTTTAGGATTAATTTGCATTTACTAGGTAGACAGGGTAGAAATAAACAAATAGACAATAACGACAACCAAAAACATAAAACACAGCACTCCAAGCAACAGAAACAATTAAACACACTCCTAGCAACCAATGTTCAAAAAGGAAATGAAAGAGAACTCAGAAAATACTTTGACATCAATTAAAATGAAGATACATAGTACCAAAACTTATGGGATGCAGATAAAGCAGTGCTTAGGACACTCCTAGCAACCAATGTTCAAAAAGGAAATGAAAGAGAACTCAGAAAATACTTTGACATGAATTAAAATGAAGATACATAGTACCAAAACTTATGGGATGCAGATAAAGCAGTGCTTAGAGGGGAATTTACACTGTGAATACCTGTATTAAGAAAGAAGAAAGATCTTAATAAGCTAACCTTTCATCTTAAAACACTGGAAAAAGAACAAACTAAACCAAAAGCAAGCATAAAAAAGAAAAGAGTAAACAGTAGAGCAGAAATTAAAGAAATAGAGAATAGAAAAAAAAATAGAGAAAATTAATGAAACCAAAAGCTGGCTGATTCTTGGAAAAGATCAACAAAACTTTAGCTATACTGACCAAGTAAAAAAGATGTAAGATTCAAATTACTAGAATCAGAAATGAAAGAAGTCATATTCCTATTGACCTTTCAGATATAAAAAGATTGCACAGAAATATTATAGACCACTGTATACCAGTAAATTAGATAACTTAGATGAATAGACAAATTCCTAGAAGACACAAACTATTAAAAGTGACTCAAGAAGAAATAGAAAATCTGAATAGACATATAACAAATGAAGAGATTGAATTAGTATTTTTTTAAAAAAAGCAAAAAAACTGCCCCTCCTCCCACAAAGCCCAGGCAGTTCCACTGTACAATCCCACCAAACAATCAAACATTTCAAAATAATTTTTACCAATTCTTCATAAACTCATCCAAAAATTAGAAGAGGAGGGAACACTTCCCAACTAATTCTATGAGGCCACTATAACCTTGATACCAAAATTGGACAAAGACAACTCTTATACCTCTTATAAATGTGAATCCAAAAATCCTCAAAAAAAATGCTAGCAAACTGAATCCAGAAACACATAAACGAATAATATACCATGACCAAGTGGGACTTATCCCAAGAATGCAAATTTGTTTTAACATCTAAAAACCAATCAATGTAATATATCATATCTATATAATTAATGTAATATGTCAATATGACATAATCATCTCATCAGATACAGAAAAACCACTGGACAAATCCAACACCCTTTCATAATAGAAACATTCAACAAATTAGGAATAGAAGGGAAATTCCTCAGCCTGATAAAGGATATCTATGTAAAACCAACAGTTAACATCATACCTAATGGTGAAAGACTGTAATCTTTCCCCACTGAAATCAAGACAATGCTCTTAGAGGAAAATTTGTAATGTGAATGCCTATACTAAGAAAGGAAAACAGTTTTACATTAGTAACCTAACCTTCCATCTTAAGACACTGGGAAAAAGAACAAACTAAAACAAAAGCAAACATAACTTTTGCACCTTTCAGAATCCCAGCTGACTTCTTTCTAGAAATCAACAAGCTGATTCTAAAATTTATATGGAATTGCAAAGTACCTAGAATAGCCAAAACAATCTTGAAAAGGAAGACTCATACTTCCTGATTTCTAAACTTGCTACAGATCAACAGTAGTCAAGACAATGTGGTACTGGTGTGAAGATAAACATACAGATCAATGGAATAGAATTGAGAGTCTAGAAATAAAAGCACTTGTCTATGGTCAACTGATTTTCAAAAAATATTCCAAGACCATTCAATGGGGGAAAGAATAGCCTTTTGAAAAAATAGTGCTGGGATAACTGGATAGCTATGTGCAAAAGAATAAAGTTGGACCCTTACCTCACACCATATAAAAATTAACTCAAAATGGACCAAAGATGAAAATGTAAGAGCTAAAACAATAAAAATCTTAGGAAAAAAATGTGGCAGCACAACTTCATAGCCTTGCATTCAGCACCAGATTGTAAGATAGATATGACACCAAAAGCAAAAACAACGAAAGAGAAAAAAAATAAGTTGAACTTAATGAAAATTAAAAACTTTTGTTTCTCAAAGAACACCATCAAGAAAGTGAAAAGACAACCCACAAAATGAGAAAAAATATTTATAAGGCATATTTCTAGTAAGAGACTTGTATTCAAAATACATAAAGAGGGCCGGCCTTGGACGGGGGCTCCTCTTCCTTAGCATTCCCCAAACCATCCGAAGTCCCCCTCTCATCAGAATCGTCAAACAACTTCTCATTGGAATCCTCCTCCTCATCAAACAACTTCTCATTGGAATCGTCATCTTCAAACAGCTTTCCCTCTACATCTTCATCTCCCTTTCCCTCTGCATCTTCATCTTCCTTTTCGTCGGAGTCTTCAAACAGCTTTCCATCTGCATCCTCTTCTTCCTCCTTTTCATCAGCATCTTCAAGCCCTTTCTCATCCGCATCTTCGCCCTCTTTCTCATCGGACTCATCGTCAAATACTTTTTCATACATATCTTCCTCTTCTTCCTTCTCATCGGAGTCTTCACCAAATTCTCTCTCTGGGCCTTCCTCATCTAACACTCTCTCGGAGCCATCATTTTCAAATTCTGAGTTTTCAGAGTCATTTTCTTCAAACTCTTTGTCAGGAACGTTTCCATGAGACTCCTTTTCAGAGCCATCCTCATCACAATCTTTCGTAATAACTTCGTATAGCATACATTATACGAAGTTATACGATTGCCGGTCACGAAAAAAGACAAAAAGGAAAAAAAAAAAAAGAATACATAAAGAACTCTTACAACTCAGTAAAAAATGGGAAAGGATTTGAATAGACATTTCTCCAAGGATGATATACAAATGGCCAATAAGCACATGAAAAGATGCTTGACATCATTAGTCATCAGGGAAATGCAAATCAAAATCACAATGAGATAACTCTTCACACCCACTAGGATGGCTAGAATAAAAAAGTCAGGTAGTAACAGGTGTTAGACAGGATGCAAGTAAATCAGCACTCTCATACATGGGTGTGGGAATGTAAAATGGTCCAACCACTGTGGACAACAGCTTGGCAGTTCCTCACATGATTAAACACAGAGTTACCACATGACCAAGCAATTCCAATACCAGCTACATATGCAAGAGAAATAAAAACGTTGTCCTTATGAAAACATGTCCATCAATTAATGAATGGATAAACAAAATGTGGCATGTCCATATGATGGAATATTACTCAGACCTAAAAAGGAAGGAAGTACTGATAAATGCTGCAATATGGATACACCTTGAGAACAGTATGCACCAAGAAAGAAGCCAGTCAAAAAAGATCGTATATTAAATGATTCCATTCATGTAAAATACCCAGAATAGAGAAATCTAAAGCGTTAGAGAGTAGATTAGTGGTTGTTTAGAGCTGGGAGAGATGGCGGATGGGAGAGGCAGGGAGGCAAGAGCTAAGGTACTTGGATTTTCTTTTTCCTTTTTTTAATTGTGGTGAAAAATATATCACATAAAATTTACCATTTCAACCCTTTTTGAATGTACAATTTAGTGGCATTAAGTACGTTCACATTGCTGTGGAGCCATCAACACTATCCATCTCTAGAACTTTTTCATCATCCCAACTGAAATTCTGCACCCATTAAACAGTAGGGGTTTCTTTTTGAGATAATGAAAGTGTTCTAAGTTTGACTGCATGTGTTGGTGACTCTGAATTGTACATTTTATTTTATTTTATTTTATTTTATTTATTTATTTAAAAAGATGACCGGTAAGGGGATCTTAACCCTTGACTTGGTGTTGTCAGCACCACACTCATCCAGCGAGCCAACCGGCCATCCCTATATGGGATCCGAACCGCACCGGAACCACAATAGTCGTGGTGTGAGAGGGCTCACTCGGTGCCCCCGGCCCGTGAATTGTACATTTTAAATCGGTGAGTTGTAAGGTATGTGAACTACAGCCCAGTAAAGCTTTTGAAAATGTTTGGGCAGCTTTTATGATTACATTAAGGACAGACATGGTCATGTGACTTGCATGAGGCGTGTCAGTGGCAGGTGCAAGCAGATTAGTAGAGCCCTATGTGTCTGTAAGACATATTTCACATAAAAGCCCTTAATCAAGTAATCAATAAATATCTGACTTCAACCTTCACTGGTAAAACCCAAGCTTTTCACAACAAAGGAACAAAGAACAGTTAAATGTTTACATTAAAAGAAAGGTTAAAAGCACACAAAAATCATACCTTATCACGACAATGGTTCATCCAGCCCAAGATTTTATCCCCAATAATGACAGAAAGAGATGTGTAATGGGCAGGCATACCTGTTTCATAAGAACAATCTATGAAAGTTAGAGATGTACAGTAAAAATTGCCTTTAAAAATCCACTTAAATTTTATCAACTCTGACTCCTTCTCAGTCTCCTTCCCTGAATGCTTTTAAAGGACCTCACATTTTTCCTAGGCCCTTCTGTTATTCTACGTGAGTCTCTGTGAGCAAGCTCACTCCTTCTCATGGCTTTGTGGATGACTGCCAAATCTGTTTTGCCAACCTTAGGACTGACATGATCTCCAGGCCCATGAGGACAGAGGCCATGTATGTTTTGGATAAAGTCAAAACTCACACGGACGGAGGCCATGTGTGATTTTGATAAAGTTAACAGAATATTCCAGTCTCTTTATAATCAGGCATTTGTCTATTTCTCCATCCGAATCTCTCACTACACCTGTCATGGCTCCCCGTGATGGACTGGGCTGATTGGTTTCTCTCCCTCTCTCTTTCTCTCTCTCTGGCTCACGCTCTCTCTGTTCTTTAAGTCTCTCCTCATTTGGATTTAGCAACACGTTTATCAATTTATTTGCTCAGCATTGCTTTTCCACATCTTATTCAATTTCTGTCTTTCTAGAGTTAATTTCCTTTTTCTTAGACTATATCATAAGTAGTGCTTTCAGTGAGTGTCTTTGAGTAGTTGACTTTCTTAGTTTTTGAATACCTAAAAATATCTCTATTATATCCTCNCTTAAATTTTATCAACTCTGACTCCTTCTCAGTCTCCTTCCCTGAATGCTTTTAAAGGACCTCACATTTTTCCTAGGCCCTTCTGTTATTCTACGTGAGTCTCTGTGAGCAAGCTCACTCCTTCTCATGGCTTTGTGGATGACTGCCAAATCTGTTTTGCCAACCTTAGGACTGACATGATCTCCAGGCCCATGAGGACAGAGGCCATGTATGTTTTGGATAAAGTCAAAACTCACACGGACGGAGGCCATGTGTGATTTTGATAAAGTTAACAGAATATTCCAGTCTCTTTATAATCAGGCATTTGTCTATTTCTCCATCCGAATCTCTCACTACACCTGTCATGGCTCCCCGTGATGGACTGGGCTGATTGGTTTCTCTCCCTCTCTCTTTCTCTCTCTCTGGCTCACGCTCTCTCTGTTCTTTAAGTCTCTCCTCATTTGGATTTAGCAACACGTTTATCAATTTATTTGCTCAGCATTGCTTTTCCACATCTTATTCAATTTCTGTCTTTCTAGAGTTAATTTCCTTTTTCTTAGACTATATCATAAGTAGTGCTTTCAGTGAGTGTCTTTGAGTAGTTGACTTTCTTAGTTTTTGAATACCTAAAAATATCTCTATTATATCCTCACTTTGAACCATATTTTGCCTTGGTGAATAATACTAGTTTATTTACCAAGAAAAATGGTTATTTTCTTTTTTCGCTTTGTAAATATTGTTTCATTGGCTCTTGGTACTGCTATTGCTAGTGAGAAATCTGCTGCCCATCTAAGTCTCATTCTTTTGTGGGCACTCTGTCATTTTTCTCAGGTAGCTTTAAGATGTTCTATTCAGGGCCTGCCCGTGGCTCACTCGGGAGAGTGTGGTGCTAGTAACACCAAGGCCACGGGTTCAGATCCCATATACGGATGGCCGGTTTGCTCACTGGCTGAGCGTGGTGCTGACAACACCAGGACAAGGGTTAAGATCCCCTTACTGGTCATCTTTTTAAAAAAAAAAAAAAGATGTTCTATTCAAATTTACTGTCCTGGTTTTCCTAGGTACCCTTCAGACTGAGGACCTGGGTCTTCAATTTTGGAAAATGTGTTCTGCTTTCTATATGTTGCCTCTCTCCACTCTCTTTATTCTCTTAGGAAAGTCCTATTAGATATTTGACTTTTTAAAAAAATAATTATTTTGACACACTTTCAGACCTATAGAAAAGTTACAAGATAGCATGAAAAATTCCCATATACCCTCTACCCATACTCTCCAAACGTTAACATTTTACCACATTTGTTTTCACTTTTTCTATTTATCTACCTACCCATATTTTTTTCTGAACAAATTGGAAGTCAGTTGCAGGCATGATGCCCCTTTACTCCTAAATATTTGGGTCAAATTTTCCTAAAAACAAACGTATTCTCTTACATAATCATCATGTGTAATACACTACTAGCTAATCTAGAGTTCTTATTCCGATTTCACCTATTGTCACAATAGTGTCCCTTACAGAAAAAGGAAATCCCAGATCATGTGTTGCAGTCAGTTGTCATGTTTCTTTAGTCTCCTTTTATTTGGGATCATTGTTCAGTCTTTCTTTATCTTTAGTGACATTGACATTGTTTGAAGAGTACAAGCCGGTTATTTTATAGAATGCCTTTCATTTTGGGTTTGTCTGATGTGTCCTCATGATTAGGTTCAGGTTACGCACTTTGGGCCAGAATAGCTCGGAAGTGACATTGTGTTCTTCTCAGCTGGACTGGAACTAGGAGAAAGCAAGTGAGCCACCTGGTGTGTAATATTTAAGGCAGTATTCACTCTCAGGTTTCTGCAAGTACAGGGTCAGCCCTAGGTGCCTCACTCAATCTTGTCCAGCCCTGCTTCTTAACACATCATACTAGCAAGAATGTGGCATCTATTGGTCCCTTGTGCTGTCTGTGGGTGACTTGATTAAGGTGGTGTCAGCCATATTTCTTCATTGCATAGTTACTATTATTCCTTTTGCTATTAATAAATGTCATGTAGGGAGATACTATGAGAATATGTAACCCTCCTGTCACTCTCCAAACTTTCACCCAATTGTTTCAGCAACCATTGATTATTCTTGCCTTCATCAATTATTAAGATGGTTGCCACGGGATGACTTTTCATTCCATCTTTCTTTCTACATTTATTAGTTGTCTTTCTATGGTAAAGAGTTTTCTCTTCTTCCTATTTGTTTGTTTATATAAATGTAGACTTATGGATTCTTCTTATAGTCAATAGTTATAATTTATTACCTTCATTATTGTGATGCTCAAATTGTCCCAGATGTAGCCAGCGAGAGCCTCTTCAAGCTGCCCCTCCGTCCTTCCCACGTGCCCTGTCATTACTTATGAACTCCTTACTTTCTGGCATGATAGGATGTTCCAGGCCCATCTTGTGCCTACTCGACCCCAGTTCTGAATCAGCCATTTCTTCAAGTTCCTGGTTCCTTTAAGTGGAGAATGACATTTAGAAATCAAAGCCTGTGTGTGAGGTATGCTAATTGCTACTGGAGAATAATTGCTTCTAGGTCCTATCACACTCACACATATATATATTTCTAGATCTATCTATATTTGTCTGTATCTATCTATCCTCTGTCTATCTCCATCTCTCTATCAACCTACATGCCTGTGTACCTATATCTTTTCAACCATGAGCTTATACTGATACCTCCGATTTCATTTCAAT